ATGGTGTAGTTCTTGAGGTGACTCATCAACTCACTGCAAGAGAGCATCACGTGGCCGAAGCAGACCATTACCTCCCAGCCAAAGCCACAGCATCCAATCCATAGAAAGAAAACAGGCTGAGACTCTCTGGTTCGTCGTGTCTTAGCGATGAACAGCGCAGTACAGGGGAAACCCGATCCCTCAGTGGAAAATTATGATCGCACTATTCCCGGGCCGGACTATCGGCCTTTGGCTCAGCAGGTCCTCAACGATGGCCCTCATCATCTAAACACCCGACCAGACTGTGGTATCGGACATCGAGTACAGGCAAGTCGATCAGTACTGGCTCTGGCCATAGACGACGAGTGTGTTTTTGCTGGATTACAGGGAGGAGATATTGTGGTAAGTCTTCCAACTCCTGAATCTTGGTAGGCATATACTGAATCCGGCATAGGCATGGTCTCTCGAGACATATGAACTCGTGCTTTCTGTCCACGCTCATCAAGAAAGTGTCCTGGGTCTTTATCTGTCCGAGGACGGCGACCTTCTTTTCTCCAGTGGTGGAGATTCCGTTATCAATGTAACTACTTGTGCGTCCGTTCAAAGTCCAGCTTGTTGACTTTGTTAGGTCTGGTCCACGAGGACCTTTGATCGACTATATTCGATCCACTCTCACCACGACGTGGGCGATATCTTCTCCGTGGCGTACTCGTCTAGTCTGAAGACGATCTACTGCGGAGGTCAAAACACTAGCATCCAGGTAGGCTTATATCGATTTTCAGAAGGCTCGGTACTAACAATTCCAGTGGTGCGACCTTTCCAAAACAGATGCAGTCTCGACGAATCAGTCAGCCGCTCATCTGTCGAAGCGCACGCACCGGTTCTTCGATTCCCGGGGGCCCGACGGGTCACGAGCACCCCGGCCGGACGCGGGTGCTGATGGCGTACGTGCAGTCATCCAGGGAGGTCAAGTCCTGACCTTCAAGCGCGACCACCACAAACTCTTCTCGCATCATGGATACATCTACACTATGCTTCTTGTCCGAGGGTTGCTTGAATCATCGCCTACGGAGGAGGTGCTTGTGACGGGCGCCGGCGACGGCGTGGTCAAGCTGTGGCGATTGGACCAGGACGAGGCGCCGTCCGAAATGGCAGCGCTCGAGAACAGGGATCCGGTTCTTGCGCTGGCCGTCGACGGATCGTTTCTCTACTGTGGTCTTTCTGGCGGCGCGCTAAACATTTGGAATCTGGACTCTCGGCAGCTGGTGAAACGCATCACCGGACATACAGGTGACTTATGGGCAGTCGATATTGTTCAGGGCTTGGTGGTTTGTGGTGATTCAAATGGAGTCATCAAGGTATGATCTTGTCTCTACTGAGGTTGGAGCTGTGTCTGACCTGGTGGCTAGAAATTTAACTCTCGATTTGAAGAGGTGGGCAGCTGGATTGCTCACGGAGGAACAATGCTGGCGTCTGCAGCTGGTCGGTTCAAGGACCGACTTATCTACGCCAGTGGAGGCAATGACAATACTGTGGGCATCTGGGATTTGACGGAGGTGTCTAGTAAGCAGGATGAGCAGGCACCGATCAATAATGGTAAGCTCAGAATATTTCACTATGTCACGATGCTTGCTTATACGAGGTGCAGACGAAATGGTCAACTGCCTTGCTAGATTCGTCGCCTTCAAAACAGTTTCGGCCAGCCCGAAATTCGCCGGAGAGTGCAACCAGGGAGCGGCATTCCTCCGACGACACTGCATCTACCTGGGGGCGAAGACGAAACTCCTGCCTACCGGACAAGACACAAATCCGATTGTGTACGCACGGTTCAGCGCCAACTCCCCGGATAAAGTCGACAAGACTCTCCTGTTCTACGGGCATTACGATGTTGTGGGTGCGGATGCCAACCGAACCAAGTGGAACACGGATCCGTACCAGCTGGCATCCATCGATGGCTTTTTGTACGGCCGTGGTGTTTCGGATAACAAGGGGCCGATCCTGGCGGCATTGTATGCGGCTGCGGACCTTGCACGGCAAAAGGCGCTTCCTTGTGACGTTGCTTTCCTTATCGAGGGCGAGGAGGAGTCCGGGTCCCAAGGATTCCACGAGACCGTCCGACAACACAAGCCGGAAATTGGGGCAGTTGATTGGATTCTACTGGCCAACAGTTACTGGCTAGACGACTACAACCCTTGTTTGACGTACGGCCTGCGGGGGGTGGTGCATGCCAATCTGATCGTCACTAGCGACCATCCGGATCTGCACAGCGGTATTGACGGCAGCGCATTGCTGGATGAGCCGTTGAAGGATCTGTCGATGCTGCTGGCCAGCTTGGTGGGGCCTAAAGGGCGGGTCAATATTCCAGGCTTCCATGACCTGGTCCTTCCCTTGACGGAGGCCGAAAAGCAGCGATTCGCAGACGTGGCACGGATCCTGCTACCGCAACACCCGGAAATCACCGACCGCGACGCGCTCATCAACTCGTTGATGCACCGGTGGCGGGAGCCATCTCTCACCATCCATTCGGTGGAGGTGCCCGGAAGCAGCAAGGCCTCGACGACCACCATCTCGCGCAAAGCCAAAGCCAGCCTTTCGATCCGCGTCGTCCCGAATCAAGAGGCAGACGAGGTAGCCGCCAACCTCACGATGTACGCGCAGGAGCAATTCGACAAGCTGGAGTCGCAGAACGACCTCACTGTCGAAATCACGGGCAAGTCCGATCCCTGGCTAGGCGATCCGGACAACGAGATCTTCGCGACGCTCTCGGAAGCGATCACCGCGGCGTGGAGCCGGGACCAGACCAGCCAGAAACATCAATACCCGCCGCTGCAGCGTGTTTCCAAGGGCAAGGACACGCCGGGCCTCGCGCGCACCGACTCCTCGGACAGCCTGGCGTCGCACATCGACCGCATCATCACGTCCACGACGACCTCGTCGGCAGGCAAGAGCAAGTCCCGCCAGCGCTCCGCCCTCAGCAGGACGGTGCCTACCTCGTCCACGCTGACCAGCAAATCGGGCGTGATTGTTTCCCCAGACGCGAGCGGGGACTCCTCGGACGAGAAGCCCGCAGCCACTGCCCCTGAGCCGGCCGCTACCCGTTCGACTGTTCAGCCGATCTTCATCCGCGAGGGCGGCTCGATCCCCACGATCCGGTTCTTGGAAAAGGAATTCTCAGCGCCGGCGGCCAATCTACCCTGTGGGCAGGCGAGCGACAATGCGCATCTGTACAATGAGCGGTTGCGGGTGGAGAATCTTTACAAGAGTCGGGAGATCTTCCAGTATGTGTTTTCACGGTTGCCGAGGCGCCACCTTCCCAGTTAGCTTCCGTCATCAATAGAACCGTTTGCATCCAAAAGTTTGCAGCCGCGTGTAGACAAATGAATGGCATGAGTGGTCGTCGTCTATTTTTCTAAACAAGGCAGCCTCTTCTCTTCCGCTCCACAATCTACAGTAACAACTTCAACTAAAGCAGAACTTCCCCTCTGATCATCCTCGAGTGAACCCAAAACCCAAACGCAAACCCAAATGAAAATCAGCTCGCTTAGCGCACGCACAGACTCAGCTCGTCAGCCAGAACACGCAGACTGTGCCGTTAACCCGGGACAACAACTTGCACTTTTGCACATTCAGTTAAGAGTCAACACATAAGGAGTAGTCAGATACCAATAGCAAACCCCGAGGCAGCAGCTCAAGAACCTTGAAGAAACGGATAAACTCCACCTACGCAGGCGTGCATGAATGTCTCCGAATCCACGAATGCAAGTGGATACTGACGGGCGTCCGCTTGTCCCCAAGGACCGGGTTGCCTTCTAGGCTGGTAGAATAGCCAATGGTGGGTGTCCGCGTGTATGGACTAATAATTAGTTTTGAAGGATTATTCTGCAGAATGTATTATCTCCTACCTACTACTTTGATACTGGATTGAGTAGAGAGTGATGATGATGAGGGGGTTTTACTTTTCCTTTACTTTTACTTTCCATTGATGGACATTTGACGATGGATATGGGTTCTAAGCGAGCGAGCAGCCCCTATCGTATTATAAGTAGGATTGCATTCATGATTGGATTTCGGGGCGATTTTCTGCAACATATCTGCCGTACTGTAACCAGACCTTTTCTATCTATTCTAATGATCTGATTCCAAATCATATCAAATCAGATTGGACAACAGTGCAGTGTGCAGTGCAGGCATGTGGATCCTCAATAATATATCCACCCAGCCGTCTGGCACTCTGGCTTCTGGAACATCCGCATTTATCTGTTCGCATGTAGGCCAACGGTCAGACAGGGGCGAACCAGAGACAAATCCACGGGAAAATGACTAGCTAGTCTCCTAACTATTTCCTGTGGTTAGGCTAGTGCTTACAGCAGGATGCAAGGATTCATTTAATTTGACTGTGAACGAATGGATTCCAGTTGACTGACCTGACATCTTGCCACTGAGCATTGTCCCCTCTGGGTCTGGTCTGGTCTTGGTCTTGTACTTTTTTTTCTCTCCAGACCCGACTAGAAACCAATAGATCACTGACTAGAGAATAATAATGATGATATTAATCCCTGAGCTGATCCCGAGGTCCCGCAGTCCCGCAGCCCAGACTCGTGGGAGTTTCCCTCTCCAGCTACCTGCATCCGGAAATATCCTGATTCCCGGTCCGCTGCCTGTCAAGAATGGGGCCGCAGCCTGCTAATGGGCTGGCACGGCCAGAAGTTATGTTTGTTGTGTGGAGTGCAGTGGTGTGGCCTGGCCGCGAGCATATGATATGATGTGATGTGATGATTGATATCGGGAGGTTATGTATGCTGCACGGGGGGGATTTGCTTGATTTGTGAATGTGAATGTCTTTCTGCTTATGGATATCTCCGTGAATTTAGGGTTCATGGCGTGTCAATTCACTGCTTTCTTTCTTCTAGAGTACTCTATATGATGGTATGACTTGCACTGGATAGAATTCATATTCTTTCTTTCTATCATATCTATCTATCCATCTGTGTCTCCTGTTGATATCATTGATATGTAACAATATGGCCTCCCCATCTGACGCAGCGTACCTCCTAGGTCGTGATCCTGAGGAATCAAAGCGGTACATCGCTTCCTACGCCCATATATGACTGCCGTCACTGACATTTATAGTCTCAACGCCCAACATGCCTTCCTTGTGGACGTCATCGGCGGCACTCCCATCCATCCCTCCATCCCTACGGCAAACATCCGCTCCATAGCAGACGTAGCCACAGGAACAGGGTAGACACCACCCCCCAGCGAATGACCAACGCATGACAACTGACAACTGCAAGAATCTGGCTCGTCGACGCCGCGCAAAGCCTCCACAAGCATCACCCCCGCCACAAACTCTCCCTCCACGGCTTCGACATCTCCCCCGCACAATTCCCCTTCAGCTCGCTAAAGGCCCAGCGGCACGAGATCCAGCTCACCGTGCAAGACATCCTACAGCCCTTCCCAAAGGAGCATTGGGGACGGTACGACCTCGTGCACGTGCGGCTGCTCGTCGGCGCCATGAAGGAGGTGGATTATCCGCAGGCAGTGCGGAACCTGTACGATCTCCTGAGTGAGTATTGCCTTGCCCTTCCCTCTCTTTGCAGTTCCTCTGTAGAACCCCAGCTAAGGCAGACTGCGATAGAACCAGGCGGCTACCTCCAATGGGACGACTGCGACACCACCGCCTTCTGCACGGACGATCCCACCCCCATCGACATGGAAATGCGGCAGATTGTCGTCGACGCTGTCGAGAAACTCGGGCTGTGTGGGAATGCGCCGCAGTACCTCCATCAGCTGGCTGCGCAGACGGGGTTCGTGGATGCCCGGCTGTACGCTAACAGCACGGCGGATAAGCCGCATTTGCGGGAGCCGGCGCGGACGTGGCTGATGCAGGTGCTGAGGGCGCTGATGCCGCATGCGATGGTCAAGTCTGGGGAGGTGGTTGACGAGAAGAAGGCCATTGAGCGCGCGGAGCGGCTGGTCGAGGGGTTTGGGCGGCATTGTACGTCTGCGTTGCCGTTGGTGAATCTGTATGTTTTGGTGGCGCGCAAGCCGGTGCAGGCCAGGCCGTGGTGTTGTACAGTTATGTAAATATGCGTTGGCACTGTCGCTGACGTTGATAATGACCGTCATGATTATGATAATGAAATAATTCTTTAATCTATCTACCATATTCGCTTGGCCACCATCTCGTAGCGCTGCACATGGTCCATCGACGCCTCGCCCTCTTTCGCAGCCTTCTCCTTGTCTCTCTCCTCCCGCGCCTTCAGCCGGCGCAGGCCCTCCGGGTCATCCGCGTAGATCCACCGCCGCTTGTCGTCGTTGACCTCGACCGAGCCCCATCCGCCCACGCGACGGCTTCCCTCGATCGCAAACTCGCGTCCCCGAGACGCAGTGCCCGTGGCGCTTCCGTTTTCTGTCTTGTGCGACAGTTCCGCCTCCCGGGCCTTCATTGCCTTGTACCGCGAGCGGGAGTACGCTAGGAGAAGCATGCCCAGAAGCAACTTCAGGATCAACAGGAGGATAAACGCCGTCAGAATGAGTACAATGGTGAAAATGTACACCGATTGTGCCGGCGAAGGCATCGCGTTGGCCAACACCCTCCGGAAGAAAGCGCTGGCGTGCGCGGCCGAGGCAGGGAGGATAGTACGTAAAGTCAGCGGGGGCGCGGACGGGATCGGCGATGGCACGTAGTGGCTGTGAATGGAGGCGAGGGAGGTCGACTCAACGGCCGTCGACGACGGCTGATGCGGAAGCAGCGCGGCGAGGAACATCTGATACGTCTGGACAGAGACTCGGAAAAAGAGGCAAGACAGCGGGATCACTGGGAGCCCCAGGCGCTTTGTGAGGTTTTGGTCGCCAAACGCATTGGTATAGTAATCCTTGGCCAGGACATCCAAGAAGCGGCCGTAGATGGCCGGCCGGGTGTTGTTGAACTTGCTGATGTATGCATGCTTGAGCCAGTCCACGAGCATCTCCGACCCCAGGACAACCAAGAACGGACCCAGCACCTGCGCCAATGTTGGCAGGAAGGAATTGACTTGGCTGAAAGAGGAGATGAGTGACGACGGAAAGAAGGTGAAAGACTGCGGGAGAATAGAGGATGACGACCTGGGAGGAGTCGACAGAGGGGTGCTGTTGGTGCTGGTCGACCGGCTACTCAGACTGGAGCTCAGCGTGCCAACAAAGTTGAATGCTCCTGTTTCTACAATATTGCGCGAGGCGATAATCGTGAGCATTAGCCAGAGCTGGAATCGCTCAACCACATCGGCACACGTAAGCTGGAACAAGTTCTCCTTTTCAAACTTCTTGAACACCGTCGACTTGATCTCGACAAACTGGTTCGAAAGCAAAAGCGTGATCAACGCGTTCGAATACGAGTTGACCGCCACATTCAGCGTCATGACTTGGTAGAACAATGCCGTGGCGTGAAGCACAGTATAAGCCAAGGCCAGCAAAAAGAGGCCAAACGGCCGAAACACCTTGCTGCGTCCGTCCGGGCGACGCTCCAGAGCCTCACGCGAGAAGAGACACTCCAGCACGTCTTGTCCGATAGCGGCCAGCAGCCGGTCACTGACCTCCAGCACATTGTAGATCACGTACAGCTTGATAGCCGCCTGGCCGCGAATCCAGTGGTACATTCGACTAGCGTCAAAGTACATGAGAACACAGCATGTAGCGATCATCAACAATCCCTTGAGGATGTCGGCTTTGTCGTCAGGCAGAAGAGCAGAAGGGATGGACTTTTGCCGGCGATGCTGGTGCTTGTGTGTATCGGCGCGGTGCCGTCGCCGTGATTCCCCGGACTTGATTCTTGGTTCTCGCTCGGTAGAAGTGCCTCGCGGTCTACGTTCAGCCTCTGAGCCAGGGACTGGTCTCTTCTGCCTCCTCCAGACTCTCCCAATTCCCTTGATGACAAAGTCCGAGACAAAACGGAACTCCATGCCCAGGTTGACCAGCCAGGACTCCAACAGAATATACAGAGCCTTGCAAAATCGCAGGGGGAGGATTGTGAAGGAATACAGCCACGCGTCCAGGCATGCCAGGATTCCAAACCAGAGCACCTGCTCCAGGGCCGGCGGCAGTCTCAGAAAACTCGACAAGCGCTCGAGTTTGACGCGCGACGATTCATATGGGAAATCATTCGTCACGGAGCGATGAATATACAGAGGTGAAGGTCGGCCAGACGAAAGCTCCAATTGCAGGTATGTCGGCACCGACAGGGGAGGAAGGGGGATGGACGGTGGCATGGGAGAGGGCAAGGCAGGCTCGGTGATAACCGGGGAAGGGCTGAGTTGGCGCTTGGATTCCTGCTCCAAGCGACCGTTCCCCAGACCGATTCCCGGGCGGTCGGGTTTGGACCGCGACGCCCACGTCTGCGCCAGCCGTTCGTTGGTCCCCTGTAGCGTCGGTCGTCGCGATGAGGTGGGAGTCGAGACTGTCCTCGAGGCATGCGGCCTCGTACGACCGTTGGACACCGAATGTTTCGAGGCGGCAAAGATTCCCAGCCCCAATGCATCCTCTGGCTGGGAATCTCTAGCAATATGGCCAGCGTGAACTCTCGACTCGCCCGCGTCCGAATCTGCACCTGTTGTATGCATGCCATCCGACAACACCCGTCGACCTTGGTCTGTCTCCGACGCCACAGGACGATACGGTATCGACTGCGGCGACGAGGTGAGCTCCTGGATCTTCGCCGGGGATAGCTTCAGAACCTTCTCTCCCTCTCGATCCACATCCCCCCCCTTCGAGGGCGACATCTTCTCCGACCAGGCATTCAGCGCGGCGCCGGCCTCATCCCCTTGAAGTACATCGACCAACGATGTCCGGTGGGCGTCATCACCATTATCGGTATGTTCAAAAACGAGCCCCAGAGCCTGCTGTGGGGGAAACTGTCCGGCTTTCAGCTCGGCGTAACCATTGTGAGCCTCCTCGTTATCCACAGCCCCATTCGATGTAGTAGTATCATTCGTAGTCTCGCCACTCGCGTTCGTTTCTCGAGGAATACGTCCCGTCCTCTGACGCTTCAAGGTTTGCGACTCGTTCCCGTTTGTGGTTATACCCCGGTCTCTCGTCTCGCTTGGAGGCGTCTCCGGTCGCGGCAAGTCGGTATTCCCATCCCCATACGACTCACGCATTCCACTGCCCCTCGTACCATTTTCTCGCTGATCCCATGAATCAACCGATGAACTCGAAGGCGGATGGTTATCCTGGCGTGAAGGGTCGTGGTCGGACAAAGACGAGCGCCGATGAGGAACCATTGCAGGGAGCGATGGCGATGGCGATGCGCATCCGCGACGTTAGTTAAAGCGGGCGAATACCGTCGTGTGTGATCTCAGTGAGGATCTGAGCCCATTCTGTCTGTGCTAAAGGTACTCAGGAATAAAATGTACCCTAAACAGCGACGTGGAGCTTGATGACAGTTGACACATAGGTACACCGTACGGAGTAGGCTAAGTGGATGTAAGCTAGGACCAGGTATTTCCTTTTGTGGTTAGTTGGCTGCTTTCGGTATGGTTGCTGTCAACTCGGCCCGCAGTTTGTTGTTCTTGGTCTACGAGCAGTATGTACAACGGATACCTTCATGCCAATAACTACAAGTACTTGATATTATCTCGGGCTCATGTATCCCTAAGTTGTGTTCTGGTAGATACAGAAGTAGGCCCATAAACCCAAAGAGCCTGCACTGTGCAAAGCCGACAGGATGTCCAATACCCCTTCCTTCCCCACCAGCACGCCTGACATCCATAAATCGATGGACGGGCGGAAAGATCTTGCGATCATAGTTCTCTGCATTGATTAAGTCAGTACAAGTAGCTATTATGGACAAACAGGGCAAGGAATACCGCTTCAGTCATCGTCTTCTGGCTCTAGCATCATGCCGCTGGATTCGCCGGCGAAAAGCAGGATCACTGGCATATAGCAAGTAGGTACTTGATAAGACGAACAAAAGCTGTAGCTTTAGACGCTTAGAAAGACGATCCAATCGCATATTGAGTTAAGACACCGCGAATTTACGGCGTATAGCATAAAGGAGTGAGTAGCCTCAGGCTATCTGCCAGCACTTCACGCAAGTTTAGAACTCAAAGGGATGTTAATGAATTGCTAAGTAAATGCCATTATGTCTAGGCTGTGGTTAAATATTTTATGCTCGGAATACCTTCACCAATGGCCCGAGAGCAAAGCAGCGTCAATCCATGATATGTTCCCGAAGAAGGTATCGAAACAAGAAAAATAGATCTAATGAGATCCAAAGGGTATTTACAGCGACCTGAAGCCGCCAGTCATGAAGTACAAAGTCCGCTGACACAGTCATCAATCAATCACAGAAGAAACCTGCTCTTCTGGAAGTCGTAACATATCATAAACCTAGCTGCTTCACTGGTAATCGTTCTGTACATGGACTACCCAACGCTGAACAATCAGGCGTAGTCTGGTCGATAGGGCCGCGGTTGACGATTGTAGCCTTGCGGTGTATAGGCTCGTACAGGCGGTGGTCGGTTGCTAGGCCCGTTGGGCGATGTAGCACTGGCTGGTCCGCTATAAGCATGATAAACAGGAGAATTTGACGGGCGAACGTCGGCATTTGGCTGGCTCGGGGTCATTGACGGATCAAACGCAACATAGCCTCCTTGCTGCTGTGGGCTCTGCTGCTGCGGTCGGGGTGTGGCTCTTTGAGAGACTGGGGTGTATGTTCTTTCGGCATAACTTGCAGCTGTATCAACGGCCAGCGGTGGTCGAACGGGCCCAGCGTTGCCTGGAGTGTATGCTCGTACGGGATAGCTAGGTTGTGGGTTGGATGATGGCTGGGGTGTTCCCCTGTGACTTTGAGGAGATAACGTCCGAGTTGGATAGTCATCGCGAGGCGAGACAGGAACTCCACGCGTCAATGAGCGTGAGTAAGGATCAGGCGCTGCAGTATACGACTGATATGAACCATAGTTTTCGTCGTAAGGTGCATCAGTACTGTAAGGGTCGGGATAACGGCGTGGCGCTTCCCCATAGTCGCCTTGGCTCATCGTTGTCGGCATATGGCTTGGCGCGTTGGTCGCGGACGGCGGCGCCGGTGTACGTGTTGGCCGGGTTGTCGGCGGCCGTGATACCGGCGTGTAGGAACGTGCGCCGGGCATCGGCACGCTGCTAGGGACAGGAGGAACAGGCGGCGCAGGTGAAGACCCGCGATCAAGAGGGCTGTAGCTGGCGACCGCTGTAGCCCCAGAGTACGATGTTAACTCCGAATGCGCTGATGATTGAGTTACCGTACGGCTCAAAGCCGGTTTCTCCGCCCATGATACGTCGGGAAGGGTAGGAAGGGTTGGGTTTCGCTCCGGTGCCGCGGTTCCTGGGCGCGAAGTATACGGTGGGAGCGTTGTTTGAGTCGTAGAACGCGAGAGAGTCGTGACGGTGGGGTTCTTGTCCTCGGCATTCAGGTCAACCACCATCGGTAGGGTCGGTTTCCGGTCCAGGGCGAGGTTGGGTTGAGTCGGCGCGCGATCCAAGGTGCTCTTGGCCAAAGCCTTGTCCACCTTCCGACGAACGACGCGCATGAGCCGGGTGTTGATTTTGCGACGGCAATACACCTTTAGAGAACCATCCTCGGAGGGGATATGGTGGAACAGGAAGATTAGGTAGAGAATCACGGCGGATGCGAGTTTGAGGATCGACAGCACCCAGATCACGAGTGTGAAGAGCATACCACACAGGACCACGGCTCTCTGGTTGTTGTCCTCGGCTAAGATCTTGACGTTCTCGAAAAACTGTACGATGCCTGCCTTGTCGTCGTCCACCGAGTGTTCACCACCGGGAAGAAGGTCCATCTTCATGACGGAGTACAAAGTGATGGCATTGACAACTTGGCGGGGCCCATCTGCGAATACTGTATTCATCCAACCTAGATTGGCACGTCAGTTGATAGCCCAAATAGTAGACAAAGCAGGATGGACTTACTCTCGAAAGAAAAGTACGCGAACAAAGCTACATACTCTGCGCCCTTCTTACTCTTCGTTAACTCCGCAAAGACCAAAAAGCGTCTCCAGCCGCGACCGCGTCTCCCCATACGGATACTCTGGACCCGGGCAGCCAGAGGGTCCAAGTAACTTCGGGCAATGCTCCCCGAGCGCATCGCGCGAATCGCATGAAGCCACCGAAGAAACAACAGGACGAAAGAGATGATGATGCACACTGCAAAGATCCATCGCGATACTGTAAAGGGAATAGCCGGTTCAATTGATCCGGCCCATCGAGAGAACGCCAGCAGATTGACCGCCGTGAAGGTGTCGACGCCATACACCGCGAGGGATACCAAAAGAAAGACGTAAACCAAAAAGTAAGAGAAGGGCGTTAGACACGATTCGGACTTGAAGTCATCCAGATTCTGCAAGCAAGGAAATCAGCGACACTCGCTCAATTGTCTGTGACCGCGCCCGTTTCACTTACCACCGAGTCCCATTTCTCCTCCCTTGACACGGGACCCTTTTCGCGCTCACCGCAGCAAGGCATTTTTGTGCGTATACCTGTTCTGCCAGAAACAAATAGCGACCGGAAAGGAAGTCAAAGACGACAAATACAGAACGAATGGTGAGTTACACCTGACGAGGTAGAGGTGTCACTGAATCGACCTGCTCGGGCCAGCCGCGCAGAGTCGCAATCGCACAATAGCGATTCCAGAAACGAGAGACAAAGAGCAATAAGTTCGAAAGATTTGTTTGAAACTCCGAGCAAGAGCCCAGGACAAAGAGCGACAGAGTTCGAGGTGATCGATTTCGATCGGCGGCTACGAGATCCCCAGGCGCATGGCCCTTGGACGGTCGCAAAGCGCTCGTCAAAGGACCTGTTTCAGGGGAGGGGGATCAACAACCGCAGCGGATCAATCGCACAATGGCCATTCACCATTGATTTCGAATTCGATGCACAATGCAGATGAGACACAAAGGAGCGACTGAAGGTATTCTACTTCGTATCAGTGGGAGTAATGGCGATGGATCCCTTTGCCAAGATAGGGGTCAGGGCGCGTGTCTGTGTCAATGTGCGGATTGTGGGGATAGAGATACACGAGGCTGGAACTGGAAGGAATGGACGCTGACGGTTGACAACTGACGAAGCTGAGAAGAAGATGATGCAATAAGGAATGGAGGGGTTCAGCAGATGAAGAAGCTGAAATGGACAGAGAATGAATGGGTGGATGAAGAAGAATAATGAAGACGAGGATGAAGGAACCGTTATTGACGGCCAAACCATATTTTCCCTTAGTCCTCTGTCTTATCTATTTCGTCCCCTCGGTTTCTCAACTCATCACCCAATAAACTAACAAATCAGCTAATGGAAACAAACTCCCTTTTCAAGCTGAAACAATTCGGGCGCTAGACTTTCCTGACCCATGGCGGAGCAGTTCTCTCCACAGTCCACACAAAGTATGTACATCCTTGTTGAGAATGCATCCTAGGTATCCTGCCAATTGATCAACACAAACAACTGTACATGAGGCCTGGGCTCATCATGACAGACTGTCGAACTGTCAATTATACTTATCAGGAGTCAGTCAGTGCCGACACCGAGTACTGAGTACCATTGCAAGACATGCTATATCCAGTAGATAGAACGATATCCTTAAGTCTCCACAAAAAGCACCATAATCAACAAAGCCTTGGATAAGGAAACGCCCGCTGCTTGGCATTCTAGCATTTAACCTTTTACCGGCTGGAATGAATGGAGTTTGAACAATGTCTGTGAAAGACTGATAGATAGTTGAAAGACTAAATACTCTGTATACTCAGTCTGTATGCTACATATGACCGCTCACAAATACTGAAAAGTGAAATGGATATGGACCCTTCTCAGAAGCGATAGTTGAACCCACCATACTCCATCCGTAGTATGGAGAATGTGGATTCGAGCGGGGGAAGATGAAACAGTAGGGTCTACAAGGCGAGTGGATGAATATGGAGCACCTCATCCTGAAGATTCTGAACATGAACATCAAACGACAAGTCACGGCCAGTGAAATTACAAATGCTGTGCCATAGGGCTGGGGGTGATCTTCCGAGTCGATCATTATCAGCCAAGATTGATTAACGACTGCAAATCACAGTACGAACTGGGAACGTCTACGGCGTCCAAGTCTACGTGAGGTCAAGTCATACTCATTCAATCGTCACTCAGTTGCAACTGAGCGGTTCATTCATTCGTCATGTGAGAGAACGACGCCAGAACGCCAACAGCACAGAAAAACAGACGCTCAAAATCAATCCTGGCCATGATCAAGACTCACGCCGACTCCGAGGATTCCCTCTCCTCCGCGGGACGTGTGTTTGTCCATCAAGGACCCCTAGCCCGCCCACCAACACACGCCCGCCTCACCAGCCCAAAGTCCATCCCCATAATCCAACCCTGAAGTCCATGTCCCCGGCCCGAATGCAGTTCCTTCCTCCGCTGGCCCCCTTTTTCCCCGGCAAGCGCCGTGTGCGTGTCCATCAAGGACCCCTAGACCACCCATGTTCCGCAACACGCGCTGCCCCCGTTTACCTTATGCCACTGCGAGGATACCGAGCCCAAACGTCGACATCTAGGGAAGGGAGGAATAAGGCCTCATTCGGGGACTCTGCTCAGGGGACCACCGGCCCGTTGCCATGAAAGTCCCGTCGAAACGGGAGTCCCCGGCCGGTCCAGGTGGGCTGAACAAGCAACCTGTAGGAAATCAGGGGAGAGTAGGAGGCCGGCGACCGCCAGGACGGCGGGCCGACGGTGCCTCGGCGTTCGACAGAGAGATGCGCAGCTTTCGGTTGTCCTCCTCCAGCTCACGCGTTCTCTTGTCCCAACGGAGTTGGTCCTCCGTCCGCTCTCTCCGTACCCTATCAAGGGCAGCCCGCAGCTTCTGAACGTCCTCCTGGACAGCCTTGTCGGTCGGGCCAGACGGTCCCTGCAGCCTGAGCTGCTCGACTTGGCGCCGGAGGTCGTTGATTTCGGCCTGCTGCTGGGCGACCTTCACCTCGCTCTCGGCCAGGGCGGTGGAGATGGACCCTAAGTTGCCAATCTGGCGCTTGGGGATCTCTTGCAACGCGCCCCGGGCAGCGTCCTCATGCCTGGCCAGGCGGGTCTGGAGGATCCTGATGATCCTCTCGGCAGACACCGCCCTCTCCTGGGCCCTCTGTGCGTCCCTCATGGCCAGCCCGACCTTGGTTTGGAGGTCTTCGACCTCCGCCTCAAGTTCGGACGCCCGAGCCCGAGCCCCAGCACTGGCCGCACGTTCCTGCGCGAGAGTCAAGTCGCAGGCGTGCCTGAGTTCCTGCATTGATTGTCGGAGGTTTGATTCGGCTGCGCGAGTCTGAGCGAGGGACTCCTGGGATTCCCTAAATGCGGTCTCCGCCGTCGCTCTTGTCGACACGAGCTCGTGCTGCAGGGCGGATGCCAGCCCGAAGGCGTCATCGCGGTCCTGCTGGATTGCACCCAGAGAACCACACTCCTGCGACAGGGTGTCGCACAAGGCCTGGAGCACCTCGTTCTGGGCAGTGAGTTCCTGGGCTTGAGCATCGAGCTCATGGGCGCGATCGGCGAGTTGGCGACGTTCGGCTTCGGCATCGTTTGCCCGGCCACGAGAGTCACGCTCTCGGGCCTCTGCGGCGGCCAGGCGGTGCTCGATGTCGACGAGCTGGTCATTCCGAACCTGAAGTTCGGCTCTGAGCGAATCGACTTCGCCCAGAGAAATGTCCCCGGCCTGTTCCCTCTGGGCCTGCAGCTGCTGTTCTAGCCCGGCCACTTGATTGCAGAGGGACCGCACTCTCGCAGTGGCATCATCCTCCACCGCTCTCGCTCTACCCTGGGCCAGGCTGAGCCGCGCCTCCATTTCCGCGAGCTTGCGTCGCAACAGGGCAATGTCGGTCGACTCACGGGCGCGAGTTTCTTCGGCGCGTACGACTTGGAGGGCAGCCAACCGCTTGGCTTGAGCCCAGCCATCCTCCATCCGTTGCTCGGTCGCCCTAAGCTTCTGGGTCGTGGCGGATAGGACACGTTCCTTCTCGGAAAGGATGCCTTCGTAACTGCTGATCAGGTTCATCAAGTCATCCTGCCGCTTATTGATTGACGACCCGGGAAGCTGTGTCTCGCTGCCGGCGACGTGGTCCGCTCTCTGGCCCGGAGACGAGGGCTGTTGGAAAACGACGACGACACGCTGGAACAAGGCGATCTTGGAGAGAGCGCGGAAGGACCACGCCGCCGTGGTAGCGAGCGAGACGCTGGCAGCGACGAAAGCAAGGATTCGGAGGTGGTGGATCTCGCCGTCGAGGTCGAAGGGACGTGGCAATTGCCAATCGTCCTCGATTATCGCGCGCAACTCGAGTCCGGTCTCCTCACCGTTGCAGAAGGCGACCCTCCCCCACTGACGCCAGATAAGCCGACTGGCGATGGTCCACCGTCCGTGGATGCCCATGCAGTACAGGGACATCTCCTTCGTCTCAGTCAGCAGACCGTCGGCGAAACCAGACAGGAACTGCGAAAGAGGGAAGAAGAGCCACACGTACGCGGTCGTACCGCAGACAAATGAACCGGCTAGCCGGCAGACTGTTGTCAGGGGTTGATTAGGGGGAAACCACCAGCTGCCAACGGCGGAGACGAGTCGGACGAGGCGACAGTCGACATTCGGCTGTTTGACCCAATTCTGCACGATGGTGCCGAGCTCCTTACGAGAGCAAACGCTAACCAGCTGCATAACGAGCGAACTGGCTGCGGCAACCACAGCAAGGATCGGTGAGTCGAGTCTCTTCGCGACAGCCGAGATCCAGAAAGCGAGATCCTCCCAAAATAGAGCCATGACCCCCAGGAGAGTGACGAGTGCAAAGGAAAGCGTGGCGCCGGTCGTCAAGTCCGCGTAAGCGAACTGACGGAGCCAGGCCTCTGCCCTTGTGACAGGGGCGGTTTCGTCGTAGGCTTCTCCGTACAGGAAGTACATCTCAACGTGAGAAGTCATGGTGCTTGGGAGGTGGTGGAGGGAAAAAGAAGTCAACAACACGAGGTTCTTGTCTTTTGGAATGTTGTCGAGAGAGAGAAGCACTTGGTAGCTTCTTGATGAGGTCAATTGAGGAGAACGAAAAAGAGATGATTGAGATTCTTGGGATGATGATCTGATGAGATGGCTGAGACGGGATTTTTGTTTGCAGAGTTGAAGAGCAGTTTGGAGGTTTCAAATATGGTGCTATGGGATGCTTTCGCAGAGAACAAGAAGAAGAGAAGTAGGAGAGAGAGAAAGAGTCGAGCAGGAGCAGGGGAACACAACAAAATGAGTGGCAAGTATCACCAAAACCTGCTCCAGCAACAGCTAAGCGAGATCGAGTGAATGTTCTCCTGTCAAAGCGAGGCCTTTGGGAGGTGAACCTGGGAAACCAGCAGCAGAACCGGGCTGGAAACGGGCACTGAGTGAATATCACACGTCTGCTGGGGGGCAGGAACCAAAGCCTGTGTCAGTCTGGATGAGATACAGGGTTCGAGAGTGAATATTGAGGTCCAGAGAAGGCGCTGGCATCGTATTGGCGTGCTGGGAGCATCGGGTCTCGATGGTGAAAGCGTGATGCTATGTCACTACGGTAGGTCATGGCGATATCACCATATCAGAATCATTCACTTCGATTATGGAGATTACCAGCCAAAAGGAGCTGATTCGCCTTATGTGAGGGGATGTTATCGTCGAGGTGGAAGCAGTCATTCGAAGGCTGATGTTACTTGTAGGTAGACTCCAGCCTCCAGATAACCCGTCTGTCAGTTCGGTAAAAAGAAGGGCCTCTCATCAGGCATCTAATATACAGCTCCTGGATCAGCATTTACATTGCATTTCTTGCCATGGTTCGTCAGTGAAAGATCATTTGTCTTTCGTCCTTCAATCTCATCTACTCTACTTCATCTTGTTTACTCTGCTCAATGCTACATCGTCTATTCCTCTTCCTCTGCTGTATATTTCTTTCTACTATTTGCATCTTCGCGGTAGATCAACTATGGCAATCCAGATTGGCCTGAGGCATTAGGACAGCACTACCATCGATCGAGGAGGTTGAGGACACCAATTCCATGAGTTTTCCAAATTCTACTCGCAGAGACCAGTAGATCCACCGTAAACGAGGGTACAATACAATTCATCCCCTGACGGGGAGACACTTATACCTGATTGCTCTGCTCTCCATCGTCAATATGATCCAAGATCACCAGTGCGATTCCGTTGTCGATCATTGTAGTTTCGCTATGCTTGATTAATAGACTAAAGCGAGTACATGCAACTTTATTATACCATGCTGGCGGTTGATGCTGATCTGACTGGATACATGCCATCACAGCTGAATGAACAATGGTACTAAGCTTCTAAGAAGATACAGAGGCTGTTAAGCTCTCGTGAGTAGTCCAGTTATTCTTCTCCTTTACTCTTCACAGTACAGAGTAGTAGGTAGACTCTGGTGGATATGGATCAACTGCGGTTGTTGCTTGGAGAATCGGAAATGGAAGCTGTGGTTAAGGGCTAACCGTTAGTGGTTAGTATAATCTCATGCACTCGGCGAAGCATTTGATTGGGTATCAATGTCTCAGGACCAGTCCGTATCTGGAATAATACAAATCAAGGGATGAGGCACTAAACCCAATAAGATCTAGTCGCAAAAGAAAAGATGGAAAAAAGAAAGAAAAAAGCCTCAAGGAAAGGATGGAAGGTGGAAACTCATTGCTGTTGTTCGTTTGCAGGATCAAGCTCATCGACAAGAGGTTCTGCCTCTTTAGATACAACGAAAAGAGAAGCCCACTAGCTTGGTAGATAGCATCGTTGCAGTTGATCTGATACAGAAATAGATCCCCCAGAGCTTGAGGACTGAGGACGTGCTGGGAGCTCCACCAGCCGAGAGAGGGCCGCACGTCATCGGGACATCCACCGTAGTCTAAGGTAGTCTCCGCTTGGCCCGGAAACTCTTTTGGCCTTAGGTTTGGCACTCTGGGAGTCTCGTCCCCCAACTAGTCCAGAAAGAGGACAAGAGACACTAGAATCATCGTTTTTCGCCATAAATATGTCTCTGCAGTAGCCCGCGCTACTACTTACTTCTCTCTTTTTCACTCCCTCACCAACTGCTGATGGCTATACCTTCGGCCAGCCGCTACGTGGCCTTGAGGCCCGTTGTCCTCGGTTTAGCGAAACTGTTTCTTCTGGCTTCCACCCAAATACCCCTCATCTCCGCCGCTCCTACAGTCGCCTCCCGCAATCATTATCAAGTCTTGGGCGGCCATGAATTCGACCCCAAACCAGTCGATGACCCACAATTATGGCTCTACTTAGGTGTGGCCGCTGCGCTCGTGCTGAGCGGCGGTGCCTTCGCTGGGTTGACCATTGCTTTGATGGGCCAGGTATGTTTTCTCATTCTCTCCCGATCGGGGCCTGGAAGTGTCAGTCCCTTGAGCTAACCCGACCCCGTCAATCCGATAGGATGAGGTCTATCTGCAAGTCATCAAATCGTCAGGCGATAAATCCGAACGAAGAAATGCCGCTAGCGTGCTTCGACTCCTCAAGAAGGGAAAACATTGGGTTCTGGTCACTTTGCTGCTCAGTAACGTCATCACTAACGAGACTCTCCCCATCATCCTCGATCGGTCGCTCGGAGGAGGCTGGCCTGCTGTTTTGGGCAGTACTGCACTCATCGGTATATATTTCTCCCGCCTTCTGATTGGTACCCCTCCAATTGGCGTCGTATTGATGATGTCGCAGTGATCTTTGGTGAAATCGTTCCTCAGTCGATATGCGTCCGATACGGTCTCCCGATCGGGGCCTGGATGGCTCCCTGCGTCCTAGTGCTCATGTACATCATGTCCCCTGTCGCTTGGCCCGTGGCCAAGCTGCTGGACAGACTACTGGGTGAAGATCATGGAACAATCTACAAGAAGGCTGGTCTGAAGACGTTGGTGACATTGCACAAGACCCTGGGTGAGGCGGGAGAACAGCTCAACTCGGATGAAGTTACCATCATCAGCGCTGTGCTTGACCTGAAAGAAAAGTCCGTCGGAAGCATCATGACGCCCATGGAAGATGTCTTCACCATGTCTGCAGATACCGTCTTGGACGAATCGACTATGGATCTCATTCTGTCCCAGGGATACTCCCGCATTCCCATCCATGCCCCCGATAACCCTATGAACTTTGTGGGTATGCTCTTGGTAAAGATGCTGATCACCTACGATCCCGAGGATTGCAAGCGCGTGCGGGATTTCGCTTTGGCGACGCTTCCCGAAACTCGCCCCGAAACCAGCTGTCTGGACATTGTCAACTTCTTCCAGGAGGGCAAGTCTCATATGGTTCTCGTCTCGGAATATCCTGGTGAGGACCGTGGTGCATTAGGAGTAGTCACCTTAGAGGACGTGATTGAGGAGCTAATTGGCGAGTACGTGTTTTGCGCTGTCCCTTATCCGGCCAATGACACTGACGAGTGAGCAGAGAGATCATCGACGAGTCCGATGTCTTCATTGATGTACACAAGGCAATTAGGCGCATGGCTCCGGCTCCCAAGTCTCGCGTTCCGAAAGGTCGCATTGTCGAGGAGCCGCCCATGCTCGCTCTCGAGTCCGCGGGGCCTCTGCTAGAATCCGACGGCCAATCCCGTATGCCCTCTGTTGATCGGCGTCGCAGCTCCGTGGAAGCTCCTCCGCCTCGCTTCCATATGCGCCTCCAGACCTCGGACAAGAATTCCGACTCGACTGATTGTTTTCTCACTCACCGAGGGACCACTGACGAGATACGCGAACACCTGAAGCACCTCGGACCGTCCAACCTGGCCAGCCGCCCTCGTCAAACTCGCTACCAGAACGTGAAGATCAAGCGAGCAAGCGGCTCTCCCAGCCGATCGGGACACACTGATATGGATTCCGGGCACAGCACCTCGGGCTCACAGGTCGTCAACAATACATCTACCGGCTTGGCCGGAGGCATAGGAGCTGGACTCCTTCAATCTGGCATTGACGCCCGAGACGGTGTTCACGCAGTGAAGCTGGGCTACGGCACCATGAACAATCGAGCCTCGGATAACGGTGTCCTCGAACTAGCCATTCCAGAAGCCGTCCACGAGCAGGATGATAAACCGCCGTCGAGGACGAGCGTCGCCACCAGCACCACATCGTCCAGCCGACTTGAGGAACAGACCCGACTGGGCAGTGGTTACCTGCACAAGGGACCCGCCCGCAGCGGGAGCATCACCGAACAAATTGTCGACGTCAACGGAATCCGCAAAGTCGTCCTTCACACCACCAGCAGCAACACTTCTTCCGATGACGAAAGATCGTCCAATAAGCAAGCCAAGTTCCCCGTTCGTCAGGACGGTCAGCTCATCGACCTTGACGAAGAGCAATCCGCCCCTGCTACACAACCGAACGGACACAAAAAGAAGAAACGCCGCCGCAAGCACAAGTCCCACGCGAAAACCTCGGACGGCCGGCGTGACGAAGAAGCACCCCTGTTATCTCCATGAGTTTTGTCGCGGTTGGAAGGTGTCTCTTTCCCCTTCTCCACCCCTCTACCTCTCCATCACTCTGCCGGCCAGAGCGACGATCGCGCAAGCGAGTCCTTGATGTCAACGCCTGTGTATGAGCATACTGTATGTGGCTACGGAAAAAGCGACCGATAACGGTGTTCGTTTGAATCCTTCAACCGGGAAGCGTATCCCATGCATAAATAGCCTGTAACCCAACCATTCTAATCGACTTGTCTATTCTCCCATCATAAAGAAATGATTGTAGAGACGGTAAACTGCCGGTATGGCACTACGAAATCGGGAAATTCGTCATATGCATAAGACTTTTGATATTTTGATCATCTCATCTCATCCATGTATATGCATGCACCTGAATAACTCCAGTAATCGACTTGACAAACCAAACAGCCATTGAACCATGATAGAAAAAGACCAGCGGTGCGATCATTGCAGAAGGGGGTCCTAGCAGTCAACGTTAGCATCCTGC